GGGCATCCCAGTCAGTATCTACTCTTAGATCAATGTCCACCCAAAGCCTTTTACATTTAACATTGTTATAAGCCTTTTTAAATGTGACTTTTAAACTCTTAATGAACAACTATTTAATAGTGACATATAATTAACCAAATTTATGTGATATAATTTATTCAAAGGTTTTTCTACCATTTAATATTTGTGCTATTTCTATTATTTCCTTAAAAAGCCATATTGTAATTCTTTGTATATACAACATATTGCCTAAATTTAGGATTACTTTGCTAGAATAGAGACTTAGAATTAAAATTACTAGATAATATATACAAATATGTTTTGTAAAAAGTCACAGCCATTCATTCATCTCTTCAACACTCAACACATTTGTTGCATGCTTCCCACATGCTGGCTATGATATGTGTAATACCATGATGAATGTTTGACAGTCATTTACCCAAAGTGTATTTTGGTTTAGTGGATGCTAAAATAGGATGTGCCTGAAACTACACATGGTGAGAATGCTTTCTAGATTTTTTGGAAAGGATAGAAACACTTTCAAAGCTCTTTGAAAGTACTCTTAGTGATATAGGAAAGTCGCGTCTAAGAGATCTCAAAGTGCCTCAGGTGTGAACATTTTTTCTTCTCCAGTTTGTCAGATGAAATATTGTCAACCATTGTTTTAATGGTTATTTCCTTGGGTTCTAATGAGGTTGAACACACTCCCATATGTTTGTTAATGAGTTGTTTCTTCATTATAATGTAGCCTTCGAATGTTTCTCATTTGGTAGCTAGTATTTGTATAAAATAGAATTTGCTATATTGCTATTGTTGCAAATAATATATATACTTTGTGTTATCCAATCTGCCAGGCAATTATAAGCTGTGGAAATATGCTTGACCTCTCTTTAAAAAGAACATAATCAATTCTATTTTTCTTTTTTTGTTAATGTTGCATTTTATATGTATTTACTACTGTAATTCACATGAAGTTTATATGTCTAATAGAACATATTTGATTTTATTAAAAAAAAACCTGGACAGTTGCATCAACAATGATTACATAATTCCTTTCTTTTACTACTTCGTGGTACTCATTTTATCATTTACTGAATTTAGTTTCCCTTTTATATGCTCCTCTGCAGCCCTATGACTATTAATATCATTTCCACGGTTGTCGCTCCCCCTCTTCGTGGAGGAACGACACTAAACCCTGCCTAGGCTTCATATCCGAGTCACGGCACCATTATGTCGCTCCCCCTCTTCGTGGAGGAACGACACAGGACCCTGCGCTGTTCTTTTGTCTGCTTGGCCCTTCCCAGGTTTGCTGCTGGTTCTTCCCGGGTTGGCTACCGTCCCTTCCACCTCCGTGGAAGGGCGGTTCCCCCTGCCACTTTCCCCACTTCCGCGGGGGAGCGGCACACTACCGGCCGGCTCTCTCGGGGGCTGCATAGGTGTTCCTTCAGATAGATGTTCCTGGTGCATGTTGTCTCTCTCCTCCTTTATAGTCCTCTTCTACCAATCCCAACTCTGCTACCCACACGCCGAGTACGCTGCTCTCCTTCAATCAGGAGCAGGATCAGCTCCTGGAGGTCATCACTCAAGTTGGCGAGAGGCAGCTGGGTAGAAGCTGTTTTCTCCTCTCCCAGCGCCATATTGTGGGAGAGCAGATGCATAGAATAAGTCTTAATTCCAGTAACAGTCTAGTCCGAGTTGCTCCCCACACACTGTAATGAAAATAGTGGTTAATTCACCACCCCCACTGTGCCACCAAACTTCTCAGGAGGAGGGCAGCAATAACTACCACAGGGCTTGGCACATGACAGGCATTACATATTGGCTGAAGGAATCACTGTATAAAATGGGATGTTTCTGGAATGCCCTTGATTTTCCTCCAATGTGTACAACAATCTCTGAGCAGTTTCTGTACTGTGTTAAATGTTGTATCACAAAAATAATCTTTTGTCAATAGAGCAAAACCTTTTGTTAGTATTAATTTTGGGAATTTTCTTTATAATCCACAATATTTTTTCAAATTAACTTCAGAAAAAATTAATAGGCTCTAAAATTATTCCTACTAGAATTTTGATTGGAATTATGCTAACAATATCAATTAATTTGGGAAGACTTGATATTTGTATTGTAAATATTTTCCCATTCATGCATGTGTTATAGTTCCTTCTCTTTACTGCTTTTTATAATTTTCTTTATATGTTTGTTTGTAATGACTTCATTGATTTTTGTTGCTACCGCTATGTGATTTAAGTTTTTTTTTTGCTGCTATTGGGATTTGCACACATTTATTTTAAAAATTTTATTTTCTATTATTGCTATTATATGGAAAAAACTATTGTTGCAAATTTCCCTTGCTTCCTAGGACTTTACTTGAATTATTTCATTAATTCTAATAGAAGCTTTTTATAGTTTTTCAGTTCAACTGAAGGCCATATTGAGAATAATATCATTTTCAGCTAAATTCCACGTTGCCTTTGCAATTGGGAATGAATTAGATGACTAAATAAGATTTTATATATAAAATATGGCTTATTTTAATAAATCCTAGTAACAACATTTAAATAATCTGTGAAGCAGGTATTTAAATGCTGGCCCTTTTATGGGAAAAATATGTGGGTTTTGCAAACCTTATAGAGACCTCCATATTGCGTCATTCCTGGGATCTGTTCTAATCTTCATGCCCTCTAAGTACCTGCTTTTGACATAATTTTCAAAACCTCCCACCTACTGGGGCCCTTGACATGGAGGCACTCAGACTGGGACCAACACAAGGCATCTCAAGCCTACTTTTCTTACATGGGGAACATAAAGAAAAAATAAAAGAAATGTTGTCAGGCTTGATTTTATTTGTATCTCTATCACACCGAATTCTGGAGTAGAAGAGACAGGATGTGATAAAAACACCATTCAGGGCAACAAATGGAATGAGTACAAAAATCAATAAATAACCAACCTTTATAGCATAGGGCGGAAACCTGATAGGGACCACTTCAATTTGTTTTTGAATGTTCTGTGTTTTAGTCCTAAACCATAAGATCCAATTCAGTTTAAATACCAAAGTTGTCTAATAGAGAATTTTCTATTATCTACTTAAAGAAAATATTTATGTCCTGCTGAAGGAAAATATCCTGCTTGACCACTTATTATAAGTAATGCTGAGTGTTAAATCAGGCTTTTTGTTTGCGGTATCTCTGTGGGATGTTTATTTAAGATGACCATACACCTCAATAGGTTTGAGTAAATATTGTTCTTATTAGAGGATGGGAGTTGAATGATTCAGGCTCCTATAACACAGTTGATCTTTCTGCATCATAAAATTTTGTTCTTAGGACTTGCACAATTATTCAGTTCATATTGGATGTATTTAATCATCACTGTATGAGGTGGTGCCCTTCCTCTGTATGCTTTACTTGTTCTTTAAGAAATTATCTCGGGGCTTGTTTGAACACTATGGACCATATGAGACTAGGCTGACCTCTGTACATCCAAAATACATTTGCAAAGTAGATTTGAAAGCAGTAAGGGATATAATACAGTTTCACTGAAGTGTTAGAATAGAGGCTATTCTTTCCGACACCTAATGACCATCACTAATTAGAACAAAATATCTTTTTCAAAGTTTATATGAATAAAAGTTTGACAAAACAAACTGAGGACTTGCCTGTATAACTAGCATACTACCTTCATGTTTTGTGTTCAGTAATCAATAGACGATTTGTATTTTCATTAGCTACAAATGAGTGACCTGTTTCATGTTTTCTCTTATGAATATTTTCTTAAATAACACTTAAAAGTCACTTTTGATATGACTCAAGAAAGGAAAAAAAATCTTAAGAAAAGTTACAATAAGGTATTTTGTAATCCCCAAATTAAATGAGGTCTGTAAGACTTAAAATTAGCTGTTTATGAATTCATCATCTTAAGCTAAATACCATAGAGAATGGAGAGAGATATGATAATATGAATGAGAAAAAACTTGTCACATTTGCAAGGAAGCTTGTTTTGAATCAAGTACAGTGAGTAAAGGGGCTGACGCTGTGGCGTACTGGGTAAAGCTGCTGCCTGCAGGACCGGCATCCCATGTGGGCATCGAATCAAGTCCCAGCTGCTCTACTTCTCATCTGCTCTCTGCTGTGGGGAAAGCAGTAGAGGATGGCCCAAGTCCTTGGGCCCCTGCACCCTCGTGGAAGACCCAGAAGAAGCTCCTGGCTCCTGGCTTCAGATCATCACAGCTCTGGCCATTAGGGAGTGAACCAGCAGACAGAAGACACCTCTCTCTGTCTCTCCTTTGCTGTGTGTTGCTCTGACTTTCAAATAAATAAATAAATCTTTAAAAAAAAAGTATAGTGAGTAGAGAACAACTTTAAGGTATTCTGTTTTTGTCAGATCAAATGAAATTGTGAAATAGTAAATTTATAATTTGAAAATTATCATTCCTGTTAATAACTTAGGGAACAGGGTCAGGTGTCTTTTTTATACACTCATTGACTGACATATAATGACAAATATTTTGATAAACACCATGGCATAAGAGTGAGTTATACAAACTGTGGAACCAGGTATTATACTTAATTAAATTTAAATTTAATTTAACTTCTGGCACTTTATATGTGCGATTGATTTAGTTACTCCACCTTCCTTTGCCAAACTGCTTATCTATAAAATGTGGATAGTGATAATTCCTATCTCTTAGGTTGTATTGGGGTCCCCAAGACTGGCAGGGATTGGTGGTTAGTAGCATGTTGCACAGTGGTGCTTGGCACACTTGAACAGTAGGTGTGAGTCAGTCATGATTCCTTCCACTGTAGTTATTTGAGCGAAATGGAGCAGACTGATTTGAAATAGAAGTGACTGTGTTCCATAGATGTTGTGATAATGATATTACTCCAAGTTTCTGATCATAGGTGTTATAAACAGATTACACGTTTTATCTATGAGTGATTTAATAAAAAAAAGCCATTGAAATGACAAATCCTAACATGTTGTCCTTTTGTCATTTGCAGAGCCTTGAAATCAAAAATAAAGAATCAAAGAGCAGAGCTGTTGAGGAACAAAAACATAAATCAGGTACAAGAGTCATTTTTAGTAATTAACACTTAATGTTTCTTCAAACAGATGATTAATTCAATCTTATAACCTCATTATTAACAAAATATTTTATAATAGTGCCAGATTGACATCTTAGAATTATCTGTGCATCCTAAAGAGAAATTCGTTTTCTCCTTTCCTATTGAACCAAGTTTTGAGGTTTTAGGCCAGGCCTCAATAGAAATGTGAAAGGATTAAGAAATCTTATTTCTACTTATTATTATTAAATCAACACATATTGTATGGGATTCATTGTGCTATGCAGTAATATTATAGACTGGGACAAAACAGGCTTGCTCTAGTCCTGTTTTCATGAGGCTCAGAGTCCAAGGGGAAAGACATGAAATAACCAATTATCAGTATGGATCAAAGTTACAGTAAATGATAAAAAAGAAATAGCAGAGTACTGTGGAAGAAGGGAAGAATCCAATGTAGATTGGGATAATAGAGGATATTTTTTAAGAAGATGGTCTTTAAGACATAAAGTATGAGTATAAAGAGGTCCACATGGACGGAACAAAACTGAATAAAATAAAAGGAAACATTGTAAGAGGGTTAATGTGGTTACAGCAGGTCATAGAGGAAGGTGGAAACAGAAAGAAGCTGTGTTGAATACTGTGAGTTTGAGGGGCCCAGTCCCTTAGGACTTTAATGTCCATGATAAAGGTGGCTTTGGACCAGCTGTGCATGCCTCTTTCTGCCCTGGACATTTCTGTTTGATGTCATTTGGTCTTCTCTCCTGGTTTCCTGAGTATAGATGCCTTTAACTCTGTCACCTCAGCCTACCCATCCCAGCCGTACCTCTTGATGGAGGCGGCCCAAGTGGGGGGGTTATCCCACTGCCGAGAGGTCCTCCATGTGGTCCTTCCTCTGAACACTAGTTCTATGGTATGTTCTGCAGAGAAGGGTTTAGGGCTGGGATAGTTTGAAAATGTCTGAAGACTTTAACACTCTCAGAAGCTTTGTACTTTTTTGTGTGTGGTGTGTGTCCTATAGTAAAAAAGCAATAGCAAAACACACACACATATGTATATATTCATGCACTTTTGTTTAACCTAATAATTCCCAAAGCTATTTCCAGGATCATCTTGGGAAATGTATCAGGAAGTTCTGTCTTAGAAACATACAGTTTATGACATTCTTTTACTCCTGAGTCTGGCCAGTGTTTAGGTAACTTGTCTTTGTTTATTATGTAATTTTCTAGAATCTAGAACATTCAAACCAGCAGGAAAAAAAAATGGTTTGCTTCAGTGGTTCAGTTTCTTTTTCTCCCCTAGTCAAAAAGTTTATTTAACCCGCATCACATAATTGTCTCAAATCTTAATTAAACTTTACATGTGAAAATATGGTCTCAGGTACTACTCACGAACAATTAAGAACTTGCTAAATAATTTTCAGTGTCAGCATAAGTAATATTAATTTTCTTAAGTTAAATAGAGGAAAAACACAAAAATACTCTTTATAGCTTAGCTGTTCTCATCATTCTTCTTTTCATCAGAAACGGGCATTCTCCTCATTGTGTAAAATTCTCATAATTTAGGCCCTTAACAGTCTTAAAATGAAGCAAATGACATGAGTTAGTGCCTACTTTAATACATTAAAGAATGACTCAATCTTTTTTCCTGAAGCAGCTATTTCATGTACTTTATTACAATCATCATGCAAGTGATCAGTAGATGTTACTGCATTATAGTATTTATTTTTCCTGATATCCTTATTAGGTCAGAATATCAGTTACCCTTATTGCTGGCAGTTTACAGATACAGAAACTGTAATTACTACCATATGTTTATTCTCTGTGGATTAAACTGTGGTTAATGCCATACATTCATTCTCCAATATAAATTTTATAACTCATTTAGTCCAGTCACAAGAAAAATCATGTTCAAGTTATGATTGATATTCAACTAAACTAAAAATTGCTACCTTTTCATTACTTCTATAGAGAAATATTACCACTATATAAAGACCCACATTTAATACTATATGCAGTCTAACATTTGTAGCACAAAAATTGGAGGTGATATGAAAAATCATCAATGAAGGAATGATTGAATACAGCATGGTGTATTCAAACTAGGTATTTCTGTGATGTTAGTACAAAGACTGTATTATATTCCTATTTCTTCTCCTGGAGATATGTTCAAAGGATTTTATTAAGTATGAAAAGCAATCAGGGTTGTGGTGTAGTGGGTAAAGCCACCACCTGTGACTTTGGCATCCCATGTGGCTGCCAGTTTGTGTCCTGGCAGCTCCATCTCCAATACAGCTCCCCCCTAACAGCCTGGGAAAAGCACCAGAGGATGTCCCATGTGTTTGGGCCCCTGCCACCATCTGTGACCTGGATTGAGCTCTTGGCTTTGGCGTAGCCCAGCCCTGGCCACTTAAGCCATCTGGGGAATAAACCAGCAAATGGAGGATATCTCTTTGTCACTCCCTCTCTCTGTAACTCTTTCAAAACAAATAAATGAATATTTTTTAAAGAACAGAGAAATGCAATTTGAAGACTAATGCATACAGTATGATCCTGTGTTTGTAAGAGAAAGAATTGAAAATGCACATACCAGACAGGGATCCTTGGTGATTTGTGGAGATTCTGTATTTGGAGTAATCAAAGTTTTGAGGGCAGAGTATTAGAGTTGACCTATGCTTATTCTAGGAGAGAAGTTTTCAACATACGTATGTGAAAGGGCATTGACTTTTTAGGCCAATTCAGCATTTTTCAATTAAGTTGACTATTATTAAAAATAAGGAAAAAAAATCACAAAAATCCCCCCAAATTCCATAACTTAGAAACAGAAAGCCTGTTTCATCTCTGGAAAGACAAGACACATATGAGTTTGATTCACTGCTTTTGCTATGTGCTGTCTGCTAAAGCTGTGTCTCAGATTTGGAATCTACTTAGAAATATTGAAAGTGGCTTTTAAATTTTAAAACAAAGGAAAAGAAAGAAAAAAATGAACATGGAATCATAAAACCAGGCAAAAAACTGAATATTCCTGCCAGATTGAATCATCTATCTGAAAATGTGTAGGCCTCATGTTAACGGGTACCTGACACCAAATTGAACTTCCTGTTTCCTCTTTCAAGAGGAATTATTTCAACTAAATAAAGAGTCTTTTAATTTCTATAAACTGAGAAGTTCAGAGATTATATTTTTCTCAGTTTAAAAGCATGTTTTTGAAGTTTTGAAGCCTGGATTATATCTGAACCCCCTAACTTGTTCCCTGTTTGACCCTAGAACAATATTGTACCTATTCTCAACCTCAGTTTCCCAACTTTTAAAATGAGCTTTTCAAGAGGATTTCCACCTTGTTTCTGTCTACATTTGCACAATGACTGGTAGTAGCAGATCTGTATGAATGGCGTTCAGTTCTAGAAAGGAAGACAGTATAAAAGGAAAGAAGGCTACCTTCACGAATATGTGTTAGAATATCTAGCATAGAATATCTAGCAGATAAAAACAGTGGGAAACTGCTCAGTGATTCTGTACACTGAAGGCAAAGACTCAAAGACAGATTCTTTAATCATTTTATTTACACTTTTTTTTTTTTCTTGTAGATGTTCTGGATTCTGCCATCCAGATTGAAAATTCCACTTTGGAGACATTATAACATGATTTCTAACTTACTCATTGCACTTTGCATGCTACTAGGCATGATAGATTCTCAATTAATACATTGTTGATTCAGTGAAATTATGAACTAACCGTGCTAGGAAAAAAATAACCCAAAGTATGCTAGCCCGGGCCTTATTTTCCTGATGCCAAACATCCAGATCCCAAATGTTTATTTCATTCAATGATAGCATAACCTCTCACTACATATTGCTTCTTTGTGCACTATTCCCACTGGATTTTCTAATTTGCTGCTGTTTGTATATTTTGACATTTTTTATCTTACTGTCTTGGCTTGCATTTTCAGTGTTCTCTTCCATATTGCCTTTCTATTCTTTCTCCCTTGTTTTCCCTCTCTTTTCCTTCTTGGTCCTACTCTTATCTAAGTCCTTTTATGGTGTAGCAATCTCTGAAATTCGTATCAGATATCATCTTGTCAGATATGTAGCTTGCAAATATTTTCTCCCATTCGGTTGGTTGTGTTTTTGCTAAGTTGTTTGTTTCCTTTGCTGTTCAAAAGCTCCTCACTTTAAGGAAAGTCCCATTTGTCTATTTTTTTCTTTTATTTCTTCTAAAAGTCTCAAAATTTCAGGTCTCACATTTAGGTCTTTAACACATCTGAGCTGATTTTTGTAAACAGTGACTGAAAGGGCAATAGTTTGATTATTCTGCATGTAGATACCTAATTTTCCCAACACCATTTATTCAAAAGACAAAGCTTTTTACAACACATATTCTTAGCACCTCTCTGAAAGAACAGTTGGCTGTAGCTGTGTGGGTTTACTTCTGGGGTCTCTGTTTCTCTGTTCTGTTCCATTGTTCTGTGAATTTGTTTTTATGTCAATATCATGCTTTTAATTAGCATAACTTTGTATATATGTATATATTAACATCACATAGTATAGTGCCTCCTTTATGCTTTTTGGTCAAAATTGCTTTGGCAATTTGGATCTTTTGTGATCTCACACATATTTTAGCAGTGTTTTTTCTAATTCTGTGAAAAGTCATTGGGATTTTCTTTGCGATTGCATTGAATCTGTAAATTTCTTGGGACAGTATGCACACTTTAATGATAGTGACTCCTACAGTTCGTAAGCACTGGCTGTGTTTTCATTTCTTTGTGTCTTCTTCACTTTCTTTCAGTAATTTGTGATTTGTAGTTTTCACTGGAGAGATCTGTCACAACTTTGGTTAACTATGGTTCCAGCTCTATAATGTTTTGTAGCTACTAAAAATGGGGTTGCGTTCTTAATTTCTTTTTCAAATGATTAACTTTTGGTATACAACAATGCTAATGATTTTTGTACATTGACTTTCCATCCTGCAACTTTACTGAATTTGTTCATTAATTATAACAGCTCTT